GTCTAACATGAGGTACGGAGTCTAACATGAGGTACGGAGTCTAACATGAGGTATGGAGTCTAACATGAGGTATGGAGTCTAACATGAGGTATGGAGTCTAACATCAGGTATGGAGTCTAACATCAGGTATGGATCTAACATCAGGTAGATGGTAGGAAGACAGACAATCTAGGGTAAACAAAGCATGACCTTGTCTTGACTCCTTCAATCTTAATTCAAAAGGAGTGAAAAGCCACTTACTAAATCACAGTCCTGACACTTTTTATGATGTCTTCTTCCTTCAGGAGCTTGTCCTCCCCAGTGCAGAGCAGGGAATACACTGTTGGTGACTTTCATGCACTGTTAAGTGCCTTTCTAGCAGTCCCTTTCCCACCTGCTGCTTTTTCCAACAGAAGATACTGGTAAAGACAACCAACCTCAGGCACTCCCACACAAGGTGCAGGACCATGAAAAGCCCAGTCTGAGAAGTTTTCTACACCAAATATGTAAGGCATCACACAAAGAAACAAGAAAGCAGAGAAACAGCATGGGACAGCAAAACGCAACGTGGCATTACAGATGATGACTTGAAAGGTTAAGACAGAAGGGGGAAAGAGCTGAAAACAAGGAAGCAGATGGCGGACAGTATACAGACAGGAAAACTTGAGACTGTCACCAAAGAAATGCTAAGTAACATTTGAAATGTTGCTCTGCACATCAGGACATGTACGTATGTACCCTACTATTCTTCACAGCAAAGTCCCGAGTGGCACCACTGCTGTAACAGAGCAGCTGATGGGAACAGTCACATACAACATAACAATGTCAGTGCTACAAAAAAGCCAATTAAATACACAATGAAGAAAAATTGAACTGTATTCTTGTCCTCGTTTTGCTGAAATATACTCTTTGTTTGCAAAAACATGCCTACAGAACCCCTAGCTTTTACATATCCCAGACAAAGACTGAATAAGGTACACAAATATACAAATTATTCTTTTCGTCCTGCATGTTAGCACTTTGCCTTGAGAGTGATAAACTTTCAGCCCTCTTGGTTTAAAATAAAGGTTCAGAAAAACAAAATGTATACATAATTAAATCTTTTCAAACAATTCTAGCAATTGTTGACTTTTTTAAAATCTCAAATTGAACACTTCTGGACAGCCATGTTAATCGAGCAAATAAACAGCTCCAAGCAAATAAATTTAAAACCTAAATATGCCAAATACAGACAAAACTGAATAATTATTTTCAGGTACTGGCTACCCACTGAGTATATTTAAAAAAAATTAACAATAACACACTGAAGCAAAAAATAAATATTATTAATGGTTGATATTTATTTTTAAACAACCAGGATTTATTTTAGTTAGTTAGTTGAGAACGCTTTCTATTCAACATTACAACAGATCATGCAAAGTACAAGGCATGACTTTTTATGAAATTTACTTGGAAAAACAAATAAGCACCTGATCTTTTAATTTTTGGGAATAATTATAAAAACTTGTATGGTTTTAATCTACAAATTGAGGAACATGAATTTAGTTTGAACCACATAACAAAAAGTAACAACTCCCAAAGTAAATGAAGTGACTTAAGCAATTTATGGAATAAAATTCCTTTCAGCACAAGTATTTAATAACTCCAACAAACTTGTAGAGAACCGATGAGGACACCGGAAGATGTTCCCCACCTTCTCAACAATGTTTCTATTTCCCAAAATTATTTTAGACAAGATGAACTCCAATTGTTTTTTTTCTGAATAGTAAAAAAAATTTGCACTTTAAAAGACTTACAATGTCTTCAACTGGACCTCAATTTAAACTCCATTGAACACGCCTGACTAAAACATGCTCCGCTGCTTGAAACATTCTGCTTTGAAACAGTTTGTGACTCTCCTAAATCATGATGTAAATAACCAGATATATGTTTATACACAGAGAAGACCATCTTCCAGAAGAAGATATTTTGAACTACACCCAGCAGAAGGCATTTGGCCAGGGAAAGCCCGACCTCACCGGAATAAAGGTCAC